GTCCACGTCCACGTCCACGTCCACGTCCATGTCCACGTCCACGTCCACGTCCACGTCCACGTCCATGTCCACGTCCATGTCCACGTCCACGTCCACGTCCATGTCCACGTCCACGTCCACGTCCACGTCCACGTCCACGTCCACGTCCACGTCCACGTCCATGTCCACGTCCACGTCACGTCCACGTCCACGTCCACGTCCACGTCCATGTCCACGTCCATGTCCACGTCCACGTCCATGTCCACGTCCACGTCCACGTCCATGTCCACGTCCATGTCCACGTCCACGTCCACGTCCATGTCCACGTCCATGTCCACGTCCATGTCCACGTCCATGTCCACGTCCACGTCCACGTCCACGTCCACGTCCATGTCCACGTCCACGTCCATGTCCACGTCCACGTCCACGTCCATGTCCACGTCCACGTCCACGTCCACGTCCACGTCCAGTCCACGTCCACGTCCACGTCCACGTCCACGTCCACGTCCACGTCCACGTCCACGTCCACGTCCACGTCCACGTCCACGTCCACGTCCACGTCCATGTCCACGTCCAAGTCCTCCACGTCCATGTCCACGTCCATGGTCCACGTCCACGTCCACGTCCACGTCCACGTCCACGTCCACGTCCATGTCCACGTCCACGTGTCCACGTCCACGTCCACGTCCATGTCCACGTCCACGTCCACGTCCATGTCCACGTCCACGTCCACGTCCACGTCCACGTCCACGTCCACGTCCACGTCCACGTCCACGTCCATGTCCACGTCCACGTCCACGTCCATGTCCACGTCCACGTCCACGTCCACGTCCACGTCCACGTCCACGTCCACGTCCACGTCCACGTCCATGTCCATGTCCACGTCCGTCCACGTCCACGTCACGTCCACGTCCATGTCCACGTCCACGTCCACGTCCACGTCCATGTCCACGTCCACGTCCACGTCCATGTCCACGTCCACGTCCATGTCCACGTCCATGTCCACGTCCATGTCCACGTCCACGTCCACGTCCATGTCCACGTCCACGTCCACGTCCATGTCCACGTCCACGTCCATGTCCACGTCCACGTCCATGTCCACGTCCACGTCCACGTCCATGTCCACGTCCACGTCCACGTCCACGTCCATGTCCACGTCCATGTCCACGTCCACGTCCACGTCCATGTCCACGTCCATGTCCACGTCCATGTCCACGTCCAGTCCACGTCCACGTCCACGTCCACGTCCACGTCCATGTCCACGTCCACGTCCACGTCCATGTCCACGTCCACGTCCACGTCCACGTCCACGTCCACGTCCACGTCCACGTCCACGTCCATGTCCACGTCCATGTCCACGTCCACGTCCACGTCCACGTCCACGTCCACGTCCACGTCCACGTCCATGTCCACGTCCATGTCCACGTCCACGTCCACGTCCATGTCCACGTCCATGTCCACGTCCATGTCCACGTCCACGTCCACGTCCACGTCCATGTCCACGTCCACGTCCACGTCCACGTCCACGTCCACGTCCACGTCCACGTCCACGTCCACGTCCACGTCCATGTCCACGTCCACGTCCATGTCCACGTCCACGTCCACGTCCACGTCCATGTCCACGTCCACGTCCACGTCCATGTCCACGTCCACGTCCACGTCCATGTCCACGTCCACGTCCATGTCCACGTCCATGTCCACGTCCATGTCCACGTCCACGTCCATGTCCACGTCCACGTCCACGTCCATGTCCACGTCCACGTCCACGTCCACGTCCACGTCCATGTCCACGTCCACGTCCACGTCCAGTCCACGTCCATGTCCACGTCCACGTCCACGTCCACGTCCACGTCCACGTCCACGTCCACGTCCACGTCCACGTCCATGTCCACGTCCACGTCCACGTCCACGTCCACGTCCACGTCCACGTCCACGTCCACGTCCACGTCCACGTCCACGTCCACGTCCATGTCCACGTCCACGTCCACGTCCATGTCCACGTCCACGTCCATGTCCACGTCCACGTCCACGTCCATGTCCACGTCCACGTCCACGTCCACGTCACGTCCACGTCCACGTCCACGTCCACGTCCACGTCCACGTCCACGTCCACGTCCATGTCCACGTCCACGTCCACGTCCACGTCCACGTCCACGTCCATGTCCACGTCCACGTCCACGTCCATGTCCACGTCCACGTCCACGTCCACGTCCACGTCCACGTCCACGTCCATGTCCACGTCCACGTCCACGTCCACGTCCACGTCCATGTCCACGTCCACGTCCACGTCCATGTCCACGTCCACGTCCACGTCCACGTCCACGTCCACGTCCACGTCCACGTCCACGTCCATGTCCACGTCCACGTCCACGTCCACGTCCACGTCCATGTCCACGTCCACGTCCACGTCCACGTCCATGTCCACGTCCATGTCCACGTCCACGTCCACGTCCACGTCCACGTCCATGTCCACGTCCATGTCCACGTCCACGTCCACGTCCACGTCCATGTCCACGTCCACGTCCACGTCCACGTCCACGTCCACGTCCACGTCCACGTCCACGTCCACGTCCACGTCCACGTCCACGTCCACGTCCACGTCCACGTCCACGTCCACGTCCACGTCCATGTCCACGTCCACGTCCACGTCCACGTCCACGTCCACGTCCACGTCCATGTCCACGTCCACGTCCATGTCCACGTCCATGTCCACGTCCATGTCCACGTCCACGTCCACGTCCACGTCCACGTCCACGTCCACGTCCACGTCCATGTCCACGTCCACGTCCATGTCCACGTCCACGTCCACGTCCACGTCCACGTCCACGTCCACGTCCATGTCCACGTCCATGTCCACGTCCACGTCCACGTCCATGTCCACGTCCATGTCCACGTCCACGTCCACGTCCACGTCCATGTCCACGTCCACGTCCACGTCCACGTCCACGTCCACGTCCACGTCCACGTCCACGTCCACGTCCACGTCCACGTCCACGTCCACGTCCACGTCCACGTCCACGTCCACGTCCATGTCCACGTCCACGTCCACGTCCACGTCCATGTCCACGTCCATGTCCACGTCCACGTCCACGTCCATGTCCACGTCCACGTCCACGTCCACGTCCACGTCCATGTCCACGTCCATGTCCACGTCCACGTCCACGTCCACGTCCATGTCCACGTCCACGTCCATGTCCACGTCCACGTCCACGTCCACGTCCACGTCCAGTCCACGTCCACGTCCACGTCCACGTCCACGTCCACGTCCATGTCCACGTCCACGTCCACGTCCACGTCCACGTCCACGTCCACGTCCACGTCCACGTCCACGTCCACGTCCACGTCCACGTCCACGTCCACGTCCATGTCCACGTCCACGTCCTCCACGTCCACGTCCATGTCCACGTCCACGTCCACGTCCATGTCCACGTCCACGTCCACGTCCACGTCCACGTCCACGTCCATGTCCACGTCCCACGTCCACGTCCACGTCCATGTCCACGTCCACGTCCACGTCCATGTCCACGTCCACGTCCACGTCCACGTCCACGTCCACGTCCACGTCCACGTCCACGTCCACGTCCACGTCCATGTCCACGTCCACGTCCACGTCCATGTCCACGTCCACGTCCACGTCCACGTCCACGTCCACGTCCACGTCCACGTCCACGTCCACGTCCACGTCCACGTCCGTCCACGTCCACGTCCACGTCCACGTCCATGTCCACGTCCACGTCCACGTCCACGTCCACGTCCACGTCCACGTCCACGTCCACGTCCACGTCCACGTCCACGTCCACGTCCACGTCCACGTCCATGTCCACGTCCACGTCCACGTCCATGTCCACGTCCACGTCCACGTCCATGTCCACGTCCACGTCCACGTCCACGTCCACGTCCATGTCCACGTCCACGTCCACGTCCATGTCCACGTCCACGTCCATGTCCACGTCCATGTCCACGTCCAGTCCACGTCCACGTCCATGTCCACGTCCACGTCCATGTCCACGTCCATGTCCACGTCCACGTCCACGTCCACGTCCATGTCCACGTCCACGTCCACGTCCATGTCCACGTCCACGTCCACGTCCACGTCCACGTCCACGTCCACGTCCAGTCCACGTCCACGTCCACGTCCACGTCCACGTCCACGTCCACGTCCATGTCCACGTCCACGTCCACGTCCACGTCCATGTCCACGTCCATGTCCACGTCCACGTCCACGTCCATGTCCACGTCCACGTCCGTCCACGTCCACGTCCACGTCCACGTCCACGTCCATGTCCACGTCCACGTCCATGTCCACGTCCACGTCCACGTCCACGTCCACGTCCATGTCCACGTCCACGTCCACGTCCATGTCCACGTCCACGTCCACGTCCACGTCCACGTCCACGTCCATGTCCACGTCCACGTCCACGTCCACGTCCACGTCCACGTCCACGTCCATGTCCACGTCCACGTCCATGTCCACGTCCATGTCCACGTCCATGTCCACGTCCACGTCCATGTCCACGTCCACGTCCACGTCCATGTCCACGTCCACGTCCATGTCCACGTCCACGTCCATGTCCACGTCCACGTCCATGTCCACGTCCACGTCCACGTCCATGTCCACGTCCATGTCCACGTCCATGTCCACGTCCACGTCCACGTCCACGTCCACGTCCATGTCCACGTCCACGTCCACGTCCACGTCCATGTCCACGTCCACGTCCACGTCCACGTCCACGTCCATGTCCACGTCCACGTCCACGTCCACGTCCACGTCCATGTCCACGTCCACGTCCACGTCCACGTCCATGTCCACGTCCACGTCCACGTCCATGTCCACGTCCATGTCCACGTCCACGTCCATGTCCACGTCCACGTCCATGTCCACGTCCACGTCCACGTCCACGTCCACGTCCACGTCCATGTCCACGTCCACGTCCACGTCCACGTCCACGTCCATGTCCACGTCCACGTCCACGTCCACGTCCACGTCCACGTCCACGTCCACGTCCACGTCCACGTCCACGTCCACGTCCACGTCCACGTCCACGTCCATGTCCACGTCCACGTCATCCACGTCCACGTCCACGTCCACGTCCACGTCCATGTCCACGTCCACGTCCACGTCCACGTCCACGTCCACGTCCATGTCCACGTCCGTCCACGTCCACGTCCACGTCCATGTCCACGTCCACGTCCACGTCCATGTCCACGTCCACGTCCACGTCCACGTCCACGTCCAGTCCACGTCCACGTCCACGTCCACGTCCATGTCCACGTCCACGTCCACGTCCACGTCCACGTCCACGTCCACGTCCACGTCCACGTCCACGTCCACGTCCACGTCCACGTCCATGTCCACGTCCACGTCCTCCACGTCCACGTCCACGTCCATGTCCACGTCCACGTCCACGTCCACGTCCATGTCCACGTCCACGTCCACGTCCATGTCCACGTCCACGTCCACGTCCACGTCCATGTCCACGTCCATGTCCACGTCCACGTCCACGTCCACGTCCATGTCCACGTCCACGTCCACGTCCACGTCCACGTCCACGTCCACGTCCACGTCCATGTCCACGTCCACGTCCACGTCCATGTCCACGTCCACGTCCACGTCCACGTCCATGTCCACGTCCACGTCCACGTCCACGTCCACGTCCACGTCCACGTCCATGTCCACGTCCACGTCCACGTCCACGTCCATGTCCACGTCCATGTCCACGTCCACGTCCACGTCCACGTCCATGTCCACGTCCACGTCCACGTCCACGTCCATGTCCACGTCCACGTCCACGTCCATGTCCACGTCCACGTCCATGTCCACGTCCATGTCCACGTCCATGTCCACGTCCACGTCCACGTCCATGTCCACGTCCACGTCCACGTCCATGTCCACGTCCACGTCCATGTCCACGTCCACGTCCATGTCCACGTCCACGTCCACGTCCATGTCCACGTCCACGTCCATGTCCACGTCCATGTCCACGTCCATGTCCACGTCCACGTCCACGTCCACGTCCACGTCCACGTCCACGTCCACGTCCACGTCCACGTCCACGTCCACGTCCACGTCCACGTCCACGTCCACGTCCACGTCCACGTCCATGTCCACGTCCACGTCCACGTCCACGTCCACGTCCATGTCCACGTCCACGTCCACGTCCACGTCCATGTCCACGTCCACGTCCACGTCCACGTCCACGTCCACGTCCATGTCCACGTCCACGTCCACGTCCACGTCCATGTCCACGTCCACGTCCACGTCCATGTCCACGTCCATGTCCACGTCCACGTCCAGTCCACGTCCACGTCCATGTCCACGTCCACGTCCACGTCCATGTCCACGTCCACGTCCACGTCCACGTCCACGTCCACGTCCACGTCCACGTCCACGTCCACGTCCATGTCCACGTCCATTCCACGTCCACGTCCACGTCCATGTCCACGTCCACGTCCACGTCCATGTCCACGTCCATGTCCACGTCCACGTCCACGTCCATGTCCACGTCCATGTCCACGTCCACGTCCATGTCCACGTCCACGTCCACGTCCATGTCCACGTCCACGTCCACGTCCACGTCCACGTCCACGTCCACGTCCATGTCCACGTCCACGTCCATGTCCACGTCCACGTCCACGTCCACGTCCACGTCCACGTCCATGTCCACGTCCACGTCCACGTCCACGTCCACGTCCACGTCCACGTCCACGTCCACGTCCACGTCCACGTCCACGTCCACGTCCATGTCCACGTCCAAGTCCCCACGTCCACGTCCACGTCCATGTCCACGTCCACGTCCACGTCCATGTCCACGTCCACGTCCACGTCCATGTCCACGTCCACGTCCACGTCCACGTCCACGTCCACATCCATGTCCACGTCCACGTCCACGTCCACGTCCACGTCCATGTCCACGTCCACGTCCACGTCCACGTCCACGTCCATGTCCACGTCCACGTCCACGTCCACGTCCATGTCCACGTCCATGTCCACGTCCACGTCCACGTCCACGTCCACGTCCACGTCCACGTCCACGTCCACGTCCATGTCCACGTCCACGTCCACGTCCATGTCCACGTCCACGTCCACGTCCATGTCCACGTCCACGTCCACGTCCACGTCCACGTCCATGTCCACGTCCACGTCCACGTCCATGTCCACGTCCACGTCCATGTCCACGTCCATGTCCACGTCCATGTCCACGTCCATGTCCACGTCCACGTCCACGTCCACGTCCACGTCCATGTCCACGTCCATGTCCACGTCCACGTCCACGTCCACGTCACGTCCACGTCCACGTCCACGTCCACGTCCACGTCCACGTCCACGTCCACGTCCACGTCCACGTCCACGTCCACGTCCATGTCCACGTCCACGTCCATGTCCACGTCCACGTCCATGTCCACGTCCACGTCCACGTCCACGTCCACGTCCACGTCCATGTCCACGTCCACGTCCACGTCCACGTCCACGTCCACGTCCATGTCCACGTCCATGTCCACGTCCACGTCCACGTCCACGTCCACGTCCACGTCCACGTCCACGTCCATGTCCACGTCCACGTCCACGTCCACGTCCACGTCCACGTCCACGTCCACGTCCACGTCCTCCACGTCCACGTCCACGTCCATGTCCACGTCCACGTCCACGTCCATGTCCACGTCCACGTCCACGTCCAGTCCACGTCCACGTCCACGTCCACGTCCACGTCCATGTCCACGTCCACGTCCACGTCCACGTCCATGTCCACGTCCACGTCCACGTCCACGTCCACGTCCATGTCCACGTCCACGTCGTCGTCCATGTCCACGTCCACGTCCACGTCCACGTCCACGTCCACGTCCACGTCCACGTCCACGTCCACGTCCACGTCCACGTCCACGTCCACGTCCATGTCCACGTCCAGTCCACGTCCACGTCCACGTCCTCCATGTCCACGTCCACGTCCGTCCACGTCCACGTCCACGTCCACGTCCATGTCCACGTCCACGTCCACGTCCATGTCCACGTCCACGTCCACGTCCACGTCCACGTCCATGTCCACGTCCATGTCCACGTCCACGTCCACGTCCACGTCCACGTCCATGTCCACGTCCACGTCCACGTCCACGTCCACGTCCATGTCCACGTCCACGTCCATGTCCACGTCCACGTCCACGTCCACGTCCACGTCCACGTCCATGTCCATGTCCACGTCCTCCACGTCCACGTCCACGTCCATGTCCACGTCCACGTCCACGTCCACGTCCACGTCCACGTCCACGTCCACGTCCACGTCCACGTCCACGTCCACGTCCATGTCCACGTCCACGTCCACGTCCACGTCCACGTCCATGTCCACGTCCACGTCCACGTCCACGTCCACGTCCACGTCCACGTCCACCCACGTCCACGTCCACGTCCACGTCCACGTCCATGTCCACGTCCACGTCCTCCACGTCCACGTCCACGTCCATGTCCACGTCCACGTCCACGTCCACGTCCACGTCCACGTCCACGTCCATGTCCACGTCCATGTCCACGTCCACGTCCACGTCCACGTCCACGTCCATGTCCACGTCCACGTCCACGTCCACGTCCACGTCCACGTCCATGTCCACGTCCACGTCCACGTCCACGTCCACGTCCACGTCCATGTCCACGTCCATGTCCACGTCCACGTCCACGTCCACGTCCACGTCCACGTCCACGTCCATGTCCACGTCCACGTCCACGTCCATGTCCACGTCCACGTCCATGTCCACGTCCACGTCCATGTCCACGTCCACGTCCATGTCCACGTCCACGTCCACGTCCACGTCCACGTCCACGTCCATGTCCACGTCCACGTCCACGTCCACGTCCACGTCCACGTCCATGTCCACGTCCACGTCCATCCACGTCCACGTCCACGTCCACGTCCATGTCCACGTCCACGTCCATGTCCACGTCCACGTCCATGTCCACGTCCACGTCCATGTCCACGTCCACGTCCACGTCCACGTCCACGTCCACGTCCACGTCCACGTCCACGTCCATGTCCACGTCCACGTCCACGTCCACGTCCACGTCCACGTCCATGTCCACGTCCACGTCCTCCACGTCCACGTCCACGTCCATGTCCACGTCCACGTCCACGTCCATGTCCACGTCCACGTCCACGTCCAGTCCACGTCCACGTCCACGTCCACGTCCACGTCCATGTCCACGTCCACGTCCACGTCCACGTCCATGTCCACGTCCACGTCCACGTCCACGTCCACGTCCATGTCCACGTCCACGTCGTCGTCCATGTCCACGTCCACGTCCACGTCACGTCCACGTCCATGTCCATGTCCACGTCCACGTCCACGTCCACGTCCACGTCCACGTCCACGTCCATGTCCACGTCCAGTCCACGTCCACGTCCACGTCCACGTCCATGTCCACGTCCACGTCCACGTCCACGTCCACGTCCACGTCCACGTCCATGTCCACGTCCACGTCCACGTCCATGTCCACGTCCACGTCCACGTCCATGTCCACGTCCATGTCCACGTCCACGTCCACGTCCATGTCCACGTCCACGTCCACGTCCACGTCCACGTCCACGTCCACGTCCACGTCCACGTCCATGTCCACGTCCACGTCCACGTCCATGTCCACGTCCATGTCCACGTCCACGTCCACGTCCACGTCCATGTCCACGTCCACGTCCACGTCCATGTCCACGTCCACGTCCACGTCCAGTCCACGTCCACGTCCACGTCCACGTCCACGTCCATGTCCACGTCCACGTCCACGTCCACGTCCATGTCCACGTCCACGTCCACGTCCACGTCCACGTCCATGTCCACGTCCACGTCCATGTCCACGTCCACGTCCACGTCCACGTCCACGTCCATGTCCACGTCCACGTCCACGTCCACGTCCACGTCCACGTCCACGTCCACGTCCATGTCCACGTCCACGTCCACGTCCACGTCCACGTCCACGTCCACGTCCATGTCCACGTCCGTCCACGTCCACGTCCACGTCCATGTCCACGTCCACGTCCACGTCCATGTCCACGTCCACGTCCACGTCCACGTCCATGTCCACGTCCACGTCCACGTCCACGTCCACGTCCACGTCCACGTCCACGTCCACGTCCATGTCCACGTCCACGTCCGCGTCCACGTCCACGTCCACGTCCATGTCCACGTCCACGTCCACGTCCATGTCCACGTCCACGTCCACGTCCACGTCCATGTCCACGTCCATGTCCACGTCCACGTCCACGTCCACGTCCACGTCCATGTCCACGTCCACGTCCACGTCCACGTCCACGTCCACGTCCATGTCCACGTCCACGTCCACGTCCATGTCCACGTCCACGTCCACGTCCACGTCCATGTCCACGTCCACGTCCACGTCCACGTCCACGTCCACGTCCACGTCCACGTCCACGTCCACGTCCACGTCCACGTCCATGTCCATGTCCACGTCCACGTCCACGTCCACGTCCATGTCCACGTCCACGTCCACGTCCATGTCCACGTCCACGTCCACGTCCATGTCCACGTCCATGTCCACGTCCTCCACGTCCACGTCCACGTCCAGTCCACGTCCATGTCCACGTCCATGTCCACGTCCACGTCCACGTCCACGTCCAGTCCACGTCCATGTCCACGTCCACGTCCATGTCCACGTCCACGTCCATGTCCACGTCCACGTCCACGTCCACGTCCACGTCCACGTCCACGTCCACGTCCATGTCCACGTCCACGTCCGTCCACGTCCATGTCCACGTCCATGTCCACGTCCACGTCCACGTCCATGTCCACGTCCACGTCCACGTCCATGTCCACGTCCACGTCCATGTCCACGTCCATGTCCACGTCCACGTCCACGTCCACGTCCACGTCCACGTCCATGTCCACGTCCACGTCCACGTCCACGTCCACGTCCACGTCACGTCCACGTCCACGTCCACGTCCATGTCCACGTCCACGTCCATGTCCACGTCCATGTCCACGTCCACGTCCACGTCCACGTCCACGTCCACGTCCACGTCCATGTCCACGTCCACGTCCACGTCCACGTCCATGTCCACGTCCATGTCCACGTCCACGTCCACGTCCACGTCCATGTCCACGTCCATGTCCACGTCCACGTCCATGTCCACGTCCACGTCCACGTCCATGTCCACGTCCACGTCCATGTCCACGTCCATGTCCACGTCCATGTCCACGTCCACGTCCATGTCCACGTCCACGTCCACGTCCATGTCCACGTCCACGTCCACGTCCACGTCCACGTCCATGTCCACGTCCACGTCCACGTCCATGTCCACGTCCACGTCCATGTCCACGTCCATGTCCACGTCCATGTCCACGTCCACGTCCACGTCCACGTCCACGTCCATGTCCACGTCCACGTCCACGTCCATGTCCACGTCCATGTCCACGTCCACGTCCACGTCCACGTCCACGTCCACGTCCACGTCCACGTCCACGTCCACGTCCACGTCCACGTCCACGTCCATGTCCACGTCCACGTCCACGTCCACGTCCACGTCCATGTCCACGTCCACGTCCACGTCCACGTCCACGTCCACGTCCATGTCCACGTCCACGTCCACGTCCATGTCCACGTCCACGTCCACGTCCATGTCCATGTCCACGTCCTCCACGTCCACGTCCATGTCCATGTCCACGTCCACGTCCACGTCCACGTCCACGTCCACGTCCACGTCCACGTCCACGTCCATGTCCACGTCCACGTCCACGTCCACGTCCATGTCCACGTCCACGTCCACGTCCACGTCCACGTCCACGTCCACGTCCACGTCCACGTCCATGTCCACGTCCACGTCCGTCCACGTCCACGTCCACGTCCATGTCCACGTCCACGTCCACGTCCATGTCCACGTCCACGTCCACGTCCACGTCCATGTCCACGTCCATGTCCACGTCCACGTCCACGTCCACGTCCACGTCCATGTCCACGTCCACGTCCACGTCCACGTCCACGTCCACGTCCATGTCCACGTCCACGTCCACGTCCATGTCCACGTCCACGTCCATGTCCACGTCCATGTCCACGTCCACGTCCACGTCCACGTCCACGTCCACGTCCACGTCCATGTCCACGTCCACGTCCACGTCCACGTCCACGTCCATGTCCACGTCCACGTCCACGTCCACGTCCACGTCCATGTCCACGTCCACGTCCACGTCCATGTCCACGTCCACGTCCACGTCCATGTCCACGTCCACGTCCATGTCCACGTCCATGTCCACGTCCATGTCCACGTCCACGTCCATGTCCACGTCCACGTCCACGTCCACGTCCATGTCCACGTCCACGTCCACGTCCACGTCCACGTCCACGTCCATGTCCACGTCCATGTCCACGTCCACCACGTCCATGTCCACGTCCATGTCCACGTCCACGTCCATGTCCACGTCCATGTCCACGTCCACGTCCACGTCCACGTCCATGTCCACGTCCACGTCCATGTCCACGTCCACGTCCACGTCCACGTCCACGTCCACGTCCACGTCCACGTCCATGTCCACGTCCACGTCCACGTCCACGTCCACGTCCACGTCCACGTCCACGTCCACGTCCACGTCCACGTCCATGTCCACGTCCACGTCCACGTCCACGTCCACGTCCATGTCCACGTCCACGTCCACGTCCACGTCCACGTCCATGTCCACGTCCATGTCCACGTCCATGTCCAGTCCCATGTCCACGTCCACGTCCACGTCCATGTCCACGTCCATGTCCACGTCCATGTCCACGTCCATGTCCACGTCCACGTCCATGTCCACGTCCACGTCCATGTCCACGTCCACGTCCACGTCCACGTCCACGTCCATGTCCATGTCCACGTCCACGTCCACGTCCACGTCCATGTCCACGTCCACGTCCACGTCCACGTCCACGTCCACGTCCACGTCCACGTCCACGTCCACGTCCACGTCCACGTCCACGTCCATGTCCACGTCCACGTCCACGTCCACGTCCATGTCCACGTCCACGTCCACGTCCATGTCCACGTCCACGTCCACGTCCACGTCCATGTCCACGTCCACGTCCTCCACGTCCACGTCCACGTCCACGTCCAGTCCACGTCCATGTCCACGTCCACGTCCACGTCCACGTCCATGTCCACGTCCATGTCCACGTCCACGTCCACGTCCATGTCCACGTCCACGTCCACGTCCACGTCCACGTCCACGTCCACGTCCACGTCCACGTCCACGTCCATGTCCACGTCCACGTCCATGTCCACGTCCATGTCCACGTCCACGTCCACGTCCACGTCCACGTCCACGTCCACGTCCATGTCCACGTCCACGTCCACGTCCACGTCCATGTCCACGTCCATGTCCACGTCCACGTCCACGTCCACGTCCATGTCCACGTCCACGTCCACGTCCACGTCCATGTCCACGTCCACGTCCACGTCCATGTCCACGTCCACGTCCATGTCCACGTCCATGTCCACGTCCATGTCCACGTCCACGTCCACGTCCACGTCCACGTCCACGTCCATGTCCACGTCCACGTCCATGTCCACGTCCACGTCCATGTCCACGTCCACGTCCACGTCCATGTCCACGTCCACGTCCATGTCCACGTCCATGTCCACGTCCATGTCCACGTCCACGTCCACGTCCACGTCCACGTCCATGTCCACGTCCACGTCCACGTCCATGTCCACGTCCACGTCCACGTCCACGTCCACGTCCACGTCCACGTCCACGTCCACGTCCACGTCCACGTCCATGTCCACGTCCACGTCCACGTCCACGTCCACGTCCATGTCCACGTCCACGTCCACGTCCACGTCCATGTCCACGTCCATGTCCACGTCCACGTCCACGTCCATGTCCACGTCCATGTCCACGTCCATGTCCACGTCCACGTCCACGTCCATGTCCACGTCCATGTCCACGTCCATGTCCACGTCCACGTCCACGTCCACGTCCACGTCCATGTCCACGTCCACGTCCACGTCCATGTCCACGTCCACGTCCACGTCCACGTCCACGTCCACGTCCACGTCCACGTCCACGTCCATGTCCACGTCCACGTCCACGTCCATGTCCACGTCCACGTCCACGTCCACGTCCACGTCCACGTCCACGTCCATGTCCACGTCCATGTCCACGTCCACGTCCACGTCCATGTCCACGTCCAGTCCACGTCCATGTCCACGTCCACGTCCACGTCCACGTCCATGTCCACGTCCACGTCCACGTCCACGTCCATGTCCACGTCCACGTCCACGTCCACGTCCACGTCCATGTCCACGTCCATGTCCACGTCCATGTCCACGTCCACGTCCACGTCCATGTCCACGTCCACGTCCACGTCCACGTCCATGTCCACGTCCATGTCCACGTCCATGTCCACGTCCACGTCCACGTCCACGTCCACGTCCACGTCCATGTCCACGTCCACGTCCACGTCCATGTCCACGTCCACGTCCACGTCCACGTCCACGTCCACGTCCATGTCCACGTCCACGTCCACGTCCACGTCCACGTCCACGTCCACGTCCACGTCCACGTCCATGTCCACGTCCACGTCCACGTCCACGTCCATGTCCACGTCCATGTCCACGTCCACGTCCACGTCCACGTCCACGTCCACGTCCATGTCCACGTCCACGTCCACGTCCACGTCCATGTCCACGTCCATGTCCACGTCCACGTCCACGTCCATGTCCACGTCCACGTCCACGTCCACGTCCACGTCCATGTCCACGTCCACGTCCATGTCCACGTCCATGTCCACGTCCATGTCCACGTCCATGTCCACGTCCATGTCCACGTCCATGTCCACGTCCACGTCCACGTCCATGTCCACGTCCACGTCCACGTCCATGTCCACGTCCACGTCCACGTCCACGTCCACGTCCATGTCCACGTCCACGTCCATGTCCACGTCCACGTCCACGTCCACGTCCATGTCCACGTCCATGTCCACGTCCATGTCCACGTCCACGTCCACGTCCATGTCCACGTCCACGTCCACGTCCATGTCCACGTCCACGTCCATGTCCACGTCCATGTCCACGTCCACGTCCACGTCCATGTCCATGTCCACGTCCACGTCCACGTCCACGTCCATGTCCACGTCCACGTCCACGTCCACGTCCACGTCCACGTCCACGTCCACGTCCATGTCCACGTCCACGTCCATGTCCACGTCCACGTCCACGTCCACGTCCACGTCCACGTCCACGTCCACGTCCACGTCCATGTCCACGTCCACGTCCACGTCCACGTCCATGTCCACGTCCACGTCCTCCACGTCCACGTCCACGTCCACGTCCACGTCCACGTCCATGTCCACGTCCATGTCCACGTCCACGTCCACGTCCACGTCCAGTCCACGTCCATGTCCACGTCCACGTCCACGTCCACGTCCACGTCCATGTCCACGTCCACGTCCACGTCCACGTCCACGTCCACGTCCACGTCCACGTCCATGTCCACGTCCACGTCCGTCCACGTCCATGTCCACGTCCATGTCCACGTCCACGTCCACGTCCATGTCCACGTCCACGTCCACGTCCATGTCCACGTCCACGTCCATGTCCACGTCCATGTCCACGTCCATGTCCACGTCCACGTCCACGTCCACGTCCATGTCCACGTCCACGTCCACGTCCACGTCCACGTCCACGTCCACGTCCACGTCCACGTCCATGTCCACGTCCACGTCCATGTCCACGTCCATGTCCACGTCCACGTCCACGTCCACGTCCACGTCCACGTCCATGTCCACGTCCACGTCCACGTCCACGTCCATGTCCACGTCCATGTCCACGTCCACGTCCACGTCCACGTCCCATGTCCACGTCCATGTCCACGTCCACGTCCATGTCCACGTCCACGTCCACGTCCATGTCCACGTCCACGTCCACGTCCACGTCCACGTCCATGTCCACGTCCATGTCCACGTCCATGTCCACGTCCACGTCCACGTCCATGTCCACGTCCACGTCCACGTCCATGTCCACGTCCACGTCCACGTCCACGTCCACGTCCACGTCCATGTCCACGTCCATGTCCACGTCCACGTCCATGTCCACGTCCACGTCCACGTCCACGTCCATGTCCACGTCCATGTCCACGTCCACGTCCACGTCCACGTCCACGTCCACGTCCACGTCCATGTCCACGTCCACGTCCACGTCCATGTCCACGTCCACGTCCACGTCCACGTCCACGTCCACGTCCACGTCCACGTCCACGTCCACGTCCACGTCCATGTCCACGTCCACGTCCACGTCCACGTCCACGTCCATGTCCACGTCCACGTCCACGTCCACGTCCATGTCCACGTCCATGTCCACGTCCATGTCCACGTCCATGTCCACGTCCACGTCCACGTCCATGTCCACGTCCATGTCCACGTCCATGTCCACGTCCATGTCCACGTCCACGTCCATGTCCACGTCCACGTCCATGTCCACGTCCACGTCCACGTCCACGTCCACGTCCATGTCCATGTCCACGTCCACGTCCACGTCCACGTCCATGTCCACGTCCACGTCCACGTCCACGTCCACGTCCACGTCCACGTCCACGTCCAGTCCACGTCCATGTCCACGTCCACGTCCACGTCCACGTCCACGTCCATGTCCACGTCCACGTCCACGTCCACGTCCACGTCCACGTCCACGTCCACGTCCATGTCCACGTCCACGTCCTCCACGTCCATGTCCACGTCCATGTCCACGTCCACGTCCACGTCCATGTCCACGTCCACGTCCACGTCCATGTCCACGTCCACGTCCATGTCCACGTCCATGTCCACGTCCATGTCCACGTCCACGTCCACGTCCACGTCCATGTCCACGTCCACGTCCACGTCCACGTCCACGTCCACGTCCACGTCCACGTCCACGTCCATGTCCACGTCCACGTCCATGTCCACGTCCATGTCCACGTCCACGTCCACGTCCACGTCCACGTCCACGTCCACGTCCATGTCCACGTCCACGTCCACGTCCACGTCCATGTCCACGTCCATGTCCACGTCCACGTCCACGTCCACGTCCATGTCCACGTCCATGTCCACGTCCACGTCCATGTCCACGTCCACGTCCACGTCCATGTCCACGTCCACGTCCATGTCCACGTCCACGTCCATGTCCACGTCCAGTCCACGTCCATGTCCACGTCCACGTCCACGTCCATGTCCACGTCCACGTCCACGTCCATGTCCACGTCCACGTCCACGTCCACGTCCACGTCCACGTCCATGTCCACGTCCACGTCCACGTCCACGTCCATGTCCACGTCCACGTCCACGTCCACGTCCATGTCCACGTCCATGTCCACGTCCATGTCCACGTCCACGTCCATGTCCACGTCCACGTCCATGTCCACGTCCACGTCCACGTCCATGTCCACGTCCACGTCCACGTCCACGTCCACGTCCACGTCCACGTCCACGTCCACGTCCACGTCCATGTCCCCGTCCACGTCCACGTCCACGTCCACGTCCACGTCCACGTCCATGTCCACGTCCACGTCCACGTCCGTCCAGTCCACGTCCATGTCCACGTCCATGTCCACGTCCATGTCCACGTCCACGTCCACGTCCATGTCCACGTCCACGTCCACGTCCATGTCCACGTCCACGTCCACGTCCACGTCCATGTCCACGTCCACGTCCATGTCCACGTCCACGTCCACGTCCACGTCCACGTCCACGTCCATGTCCACGTCCACGTCCACGTCCACGTCCACGTCCACGTCCATGTCCACGTCCACGTCCACGTCCACGTCCACGTCCACGTCCACGTCAGTCCACGTCCACGTCCACGTCCACGTCCATGTCCATGTCCACGTCCACGTCCACGTCCACGTCCATGTCCACGTCCACGTCCACGTCCATGTCCACGTCCACGTCCACGTCCACGTCCATGTCCACGTCCACGTCCTCCACGTCCACGTCCACGTCCACGTCCACGTCCACGTCCATGTCCACGTCCACGTCCACGTCCACGTCCACGTCCACGTCCGAGTCCCCGTCCACGTCCATGTCCACGTCCACGTCCATGTCCACGTCCACGTCCATGTCCACGTCCACGTCCACGTCCACGTCCACGTCCACGTCCACGTCCACGTCCATGTCCACGTCCACGTCCTCCACGTCCATGTCCACGTCCATGTCCACGTCCACGTCCACGTCCATGTCCACGTCCACGTCCACGTCCATGTCCACGTCCACGTCCATGTCCACGTCCATGTCCACGTCCATGTCCACGTCCACGTCCACGTCCACGTCCATGTCCACGTCCACGTCCACGTCCACGTCCACGTCCACGTCCACGTCCACGTCCACGTCACGTCCATGTCCACGTCCACGTCCATGTCCACGTCCATGTCCACGTCCACGTCCACGTCCACGTCCACGTCCACGTCCACGTCCAGTCCACGTCCACGTCCACGTCCACGTCCATGTCCACGTCCATGTCCACGTCCACGTCCACGTCCACGTCCATGTCCACGTCCATGTCCACGTCCACGTCCATGTCCACGTCCACGTCCACGTCCACGTCCACGTCCACGTCCATGTCCACGTCCATGTCCACGTCCATGTCCACGTCCACGTCCATGTCCACGTCCACGTCCACGTCCATGTCCACGTCCACGTCCATGTCCACGTCCACGTCCATGTCCACGTCCACGTCCACGTCCATGTCCACGTCCACGTCCATGTCCACGTCCATGTCCACGTCCATGTCCACGTCCACGTCCACGTCCACGTCCACGTCCATGTCCACGTCCACGTCCACGTCCATGTCCACGTCCACGTCCACGTCCAGTCCACGTCCACGTCCACGTCCACGTCCACGTCCACGTCCACGTCCATGTCCACGTCCACGTCCACGTCCACGTCCACGTCCATGTCCACGTCCACGTCCACGTCCACGTCCATGTCCACGTCCATGTCCACGTCCACGTCCACGTCCATGTCCACGTCCATGTCCACGTCCACGTCCACGTCCACGTCCACGTCCATGTCCACGTCCATGTCCACGTCCATGTCCACGTCCACGTCCACGTCCACGTCCACGTCCATGTCCACGTCCACGTCCACGTCCATGTCCACGTCCACGTCCACGTCCACGTCCACGTCCACGTCCAGTCCACGTCCACGTCCATGTCCACGTCCACGTCCACGTCCATGTCCACGTCCACGTCCACGTCCACGTCCACGTCCACGTCCACGTCCATGTCCACGTCCATGTCCACGTCCACGTCCACGTCCATGTCCACGTCCATGTCCACGTCCATGTCCACGTCCACGTCCACGTCCACGTCCATGTCCACGTCCACGTCCACGTCCACGTCCATGTCCACGTCCACGTCCACGTCCACGTCCACGTCCATGTCCACGTCCATGTCCACGTCCATGTCCACGTCCACGTCCACGTCCACGTCCATGTCCACGTCCACGTCCACGTCCACGTCCATGTCCACGTCCATGTCCACGTCCATGTCCACGTCCACGTCCACGTCCACGTCCACGTCCACGTCCATGTCCACGTCCACGTCCACGTCCATGTCCACGTCCACGTCCACGTCCACGTCCACGTCCACGTCCATGTCCACGTCCACGTCCACGTCCACGTCCATGTCCACGTCCACGTCCACGTCCACGTCCATGTCCACGTCCACGTCCACGTCCACGTCCACGTCCATGTCCACGTCCATGTCCACGTCCACGTCCACGTCCACGTCACATGTCCACGTCCATGTCCACGTCCACGTCCACGTCCACGTCCACGTCCATGTCCACGTCCATGTCCACGTCCACGTCCATGTCCACGTCCACGTCCACGTCCACGTCCACGTCCACGTCATGTCCACGTCCACGTCCATGTCCACGTCCATGTCCACGTCCATGTCCACGTCCATGTCCACGTCCATGTCCACGTCCATGTCCACGTCCACGTCCACGTCCATGTCCACGTCCACACGTCCACGTCCACGTCCACGTCCACGTCCACGTCCACGTCCACGTCCATGTCCACGTCCACGTCCACGTCCATGTCCACGTCCATGTCCACGTCCAGTCCACGTCCACGTCCATGTCCACGTCCACGTCCATGTCCACGTCCACGTCCACGTCCATGTCCACGTCCACGTCCACGTCCACGTCCACGTCCACGTCCACGTCCACGTCCACGTCCATGTCCACGTCCACGTCCACGTCCACGTCCACGTCCACGTCCACGTCCATGTCCACGTCCACGTCCATGTCCACGTCCATGTCCACGTCCACGTCCATGTCCACGTCCACGTCCACGTCCACGTCCACGTCCACGTCCACGTCCACGTCCACGTCCACGTCCACGTCCACGTCCACGTCCACGTCCATGTCCACGTCCACGTCCACGTCCACGTCCACGTCCACGTCCATGTCCACGTCCACGTCCACGTCCACGTCCACGTCCACGTCCACGTCCACGTCCACGTCCACGTCCACGTCCACGTCCACGTCCATGTCCACGTCCACGTCCGTCCACGTCCACGTCCATGTCCACGTCCACGTCCACGTCCACGTCCACGTCCACGTCCACGTCCACGTCCATGTCCATGTCCACGTCCATGTCCACGTCCACGTCCACGTCCACGTCCATGTCCACGTCCACGTCCACGTCCACGTCCACGTCCACGTCCACGTCCATGTCCACGTCCACGTCCACGTCCACGTCCATGTCCATGTCCACGTCCATGTCCACGTCCACGTCCACGTCCATGTCCACGTCCACGTCCACGTCCACGTCCACGTCCACGTCCATGTCCACGTCCACGTCCACGTCCACGTCCACGTCCACGTCCACGTCCACGTCCACGTCCACGTCCACGTCCACGTCCACGTCCACGTCCATGTCCACGTCCACGTCCACGTCCACGTCCACGTCCACGTCCATGTCCACGTCCACGTCCACGTCCACGTCCACGTCCACGTCCACGTCCACGTCCACGTCCATGTCCACGTCCACGTCCATGTCCACGTCCACGTCCACGTCCACGTCCACGTCCACGTCCACGTCCACGTCCACGTCCACGTCCACGTCCACGTCCACGTCCACGTCCACGTCCATGTCCACGTCCACGTCCGTCCACGTCCACGTCCACGTCCACGTCCATGTCCACGTCCACGTCCACGTCCACGTCCATGTCCACGTCCATGTCCACGTCCACGTCCACGTCCACGTCCACGTCCACGTCCACGTCCACGTCCACGTCCATGTCCACGTCCACGTCCACGTCCACGTCCATGTCCACGTCCACGTCCACGTCCACGTCCATGTCCACGTCCACGTCCACGTCCATGTCCACGTCCATGTCCACGTCCATGTCCACGTCCATGTCCACATGTCCACGTCCACGTCCACGTCCACGTCACACGTCCACGTCCATGTCCACGTCCACGTCCACGTCCACGTCCACGTCCATGTCCACGTCCACGTCCACGTCCATGTCCACGTCCACGTCCACGTCCACGTCCATGTCCACGTCCATGTCCACGTCCACGTCCACGTCCACGTCCACGTCCACGTCCACGTCCACGTCCATGTCCACGTCCATCCTCCACGTCCACGTCCACGTCCATGTCCACGTCCACGTCCATGTCCACGTCCATGTCCACGTCCACGTCCACGTCCACGTCCACGTCCACGTCCATGTCCACGTCCACGTCCATGTCCACGTCCACGTCCACGTCCACGTCCACGTCCATGTCCACGTCCATGTCCACGTCCACGTCCACGTCCACGTCCACGTCCACGTCCTCCACGTCCACGTCCACGTCCATGTCCACGTCCACGTCCACGTCCACGTCCACGTCCATGTCCACGTCCACGTCCACGTCCACGTCCATGTCCACGTCCATGTCCACGTCCATGTCCACGTCCACGTCCATGTCCACGTCCATGTCCACGTCCATGTCCACGTCCACGTCCACGTCCATGTCCACGTCCATGTCCGTCCATGTCCACGTCCACGTCCATGTCCACGTCCACGTCCACGTCCACGTCCATGTCCACGTCCACGTCCACGTCCATGTCCACGTCCACGTCCACGTCCATGTCCACGTCCACGTCCACGTCCATGTCCACGTCCATGTCCACGTCCATGTCCACGTCCATGTCCACGTCCACGTCCACGTCCATGTCCACGTCCACGTCCACGTCCACGTCCACGTCCACGTCCACGTCCACGTCCACGTCCACGTCCACGTCCACGTCCACGTCCACGTCCACGTCCACGTCCATGTCCACGTCCACTCCACGTCCATGTCCACGTCCACGTCCACGTCCACGTCCACGTCCACGTCCATGTCCATGTCCACGTCCACGTCCACGTCCACGTCCATGTCCACGTCCACGTCCACGTCCACGTCCATGTCCACGTCCACGTCCACGTCCACGTCCATGTCCACGTCCACGTCCACGTCCACGTCCACGTCCACGTCCATGTCCACGTCCACGTCCACGTCCATGTCCACGTCCACGTCCACGTCCATGTCCACGTCCATGTCCACGTCCACGTCCACGTCCATGTCCACGTCCACGTCCACGTCCATGTCCACGTCCACGTCCACGTCCATGTCCACGTCCACGTCCACGTCCACGTCCACGTCCATGTCCATGTCCACGTCCATGTCCACGTCCACGTCCACGTCCACGTCCATGTCCATGTCCACGTCCTCCACGTCCACGTCCACGTCCATGTCCACGTCCATGTCCACGTCCATGTCCACGTCCACGTCCACGTCCACGTCCACGTCCAGTCCACGTCCACGTCCACGTCCACGTCCACGTCCATGTCCACGTCCACGTCCACGTCCATGTCCACGTCCACGTCCACGTCCACGTCCACGTCCATGTCCACGTCCACGTCGTCGTCCATGTCCACGTCCACGTCCACGTCCACGTCCACGTCCACGTCCACGTCCACGTCCACGTCCACGTCCACGTCCATGTCCACGTCCACGTCCACGTCCACGTCCATGTCCACGTCCACGTCCACGTCCACGTCCACGTCCATGTCCACGTCCACGTCCACGTCCACGTCCACGTCCACGTCCACGTCCACGTCCACGTCCACGTCCACGTCCACGTCCATGTCCACGTCCACGTCCACGTCCACGTCCATGTCCACGTCCACGTCCACGTCCACGTCCACGTCCATGTCCACGTCCACGTCCACGTCCACGTCCATGTCCACGTCCACGTCCACGTCCACGTCCATGTCCACGTCCACGTCCACGTCCATGTCCACGTCCTCCACGTCCACGTCCACGTCCATGTCCACGTCCACGTCCACGTCCATGTCCACGTCCACGTCCACGTCCATGTCCACGTCCACGTCCACGTCCATGTCCACGTCCACGTCCACGTCCACGTCCACGTCCACGTCCACGTCCACGTCCACGTCCACGTCCACGTCCACGTCCATGTCCACGTCCATGTCCACGTCCACGTCCACGTCCACGTCCACGTCCACGTCCACGTCCATGTCCACGTCCACGTCCACGTCCATGTCCACGTCCACGTCCATGTCCACGTCCATGTCCACGTCCATGTCCACGTCCACGTCCACGTCCACGTCCATGTCCACGTCCACGTCCACGTCCATGTCCACGTCCATGTCCACGTCCATGTCCACGTCCATGTCCACGTCCATGTCCACGTCCACGTCCACGTCCACGTCCACGTCCACGTCCATGTCCACGTCCATGTCCACGTCCACGTCCATGTCCACGTCCACGTCCACGTCCATGTCCACGTCCATGTCCACGTCCACGTCCACGTCCACGTCCATGTCCACGTCCATCCACGTCCATGTCCACGTCCACGTCCATGTCCACGTCCATGTCCACGTCCATGTCCACGTCCACGTCCACGTCCACGTCCACGTCCACGTCCATGTCCACGTCCATGTCCACGTCCATGTCCACGTCCACGTCCATGTCCACGTCCATGTCCACGTCCATGTCACGTCCACGTCCACGTCCACGTCCATGTCCACGTCCACGTCTCCACGTCCACGTCCATGTCCACGTCCATGTCCACGTCCATGTCCACGTCCATGTCCACGTCCATGTCCACGTCCACGTCCACGTCCACGTCCACGTCCACGTCCACGTCCATGTCCACGTCCACGTCCACGTCCACGTCCACGTCCACGTCCACGTCCATGTCCACGTCCACGTCCATGTCCACGTCCATGTCCACGTCCACGTCCACGTCCATGTCCACGTCCACGTCCATGTCCACGTCCATGTCCACGTCCACGTCCACGTCCACGTCCATGTCCACGTCCACGTCCACGTCCATGTCCACGTCCATGTCCACGTCCACGTCCACGTCCACGTCCATGTCCACGTCCATGTCCACGTCCATGTCCACGTCCACGTCCATGTCCACGTCCATGTCCACGTCCAACGTCCACGTCCACGTCCATGTCCACGTCCATGTCCACGTCCATGTCCACGTCCATGTCCATGTCCACGTCCACGTCCACGTCCATGTCCACGTCCATCCACGTCCATGTCCACGTCCACGTCCATGTCCACGTCCATGTCCACGTCCATGTCCACGTCCACGTCCACGTCCACGTCCATGTCCACGTCCACGTCCGTCCACGTCCATGTCCACGTCCACGTCCATGTCCACGTCCACGTCCACGTCCATGTCCACGTCCATGTCCACGTCCATGTCCACGTCCATGTCCACGTCCACGTCCATGTCCACGTCCATGTCCACGTCCATGTCCACGTCCACGTCCACGTCACGTCCATGTCCACGTCCACGTCCACGTCCACCTCCTCCACGTCCACGTCCACGTCCACGTCCACAGTCCACGTCCACGTCCATGTCCACGTCCATGTCCACGTCCATGTCCACGTCCACGTCCATGTCCACGTCCATGTCCACGTCCATGTCCACGTCCACGTCCATGTCCACGTCCATGTCCACGTCCATGTCCACGTCCATGTCCATGTCCACGTCCACGTCCACGTCCATGTCCACGTCCATGTCCACGTCCATGTCCACGTCCACGTCCATGTCCACGTCCATGTCCACGTCCATGTCACGTCCACGTCCACGTCCACGTCCATGTCCACGTCCACGTCCACGTCCACGTCCACGTCCATGTCCACGTCCATGTCCACGTCCATGTCCACGTCCATGTCCACGTCCACGTCCACGTCCACGTCCACGTCCACGTCCACGTCCACGTCCACGTCCACGTCCATGTCCACGTCCACGTCCATGTCCACGTCCAGTGTCCACGTCCACGTCCACGTCCATGTCCACGTCCACGTCCACGTCCACGTCCACGTCCACGTCCATGTCCATGTCCACGTCCGCATCCACGTCCACGTCCACGTCCACGTCCACGTCCACGTCCACGTCCATGTCCACGTCCACGTCCACGTCCATGTCCACGTCCACGTCCACGTCCATGTCCACGTCCACGTCCACGTCCACGTCCACGTCCACGTCCATGTCCACGTCCAGTCCACGTCCATGTCCACGTCCATGTCCACGTCCATGTCCACGTCCATGTCCACCACGTCCACGTCCACGTCCATGTCCACGTCCACGTCCACGTCCATGTCCACGTCCACGTCCATGTCCACGTCCATGTCCACGTCCATGTCCACGTCCATGTCCACGTCCACGTCCACGTCCACGTCCATGTCCACGTCCATGTCCACGTCCATGTCCACGTCCATGTCCACGTCCATGTCCACGTCCACGTCCACGTCCACGTCCACGTCCACGTGTCCACGTCCATGTCCATGTCCACGTCCATGTCCACGTCCACGTCCATGTCCACGTCCACGTCCACGTCCATGTCCACGTCCATGTCCACGTCCATGTCCACGTCCACGTCCATGTCCACGTCCATGTCCACGTCCATGTCCACGTCCACGTCCATGTCCACGTCCATGTCCACGTCCACGTCCACGTCCACGTCCATGTCCACGTCCACGTCCACGTCCATGTCCACGTCCATGTCCACGTCCATGTCCACGTCCACGTCCACGTCCACGTCCACGTCCACGTCCATGTCCACGTCCACGTCCACGTCCACGTCCATGTCCACGTCCACGTCCTCCACGTCCACGTCCATGTCCACGTCCATGTCCACGTCCATGTCCACGTCCATGTCCACGTCCATGTCCACGTCCACGTCCACGTCCACGTCCATGTCCACGTCCATGTCCATGTCCACGTCCACGTCCACGTCCATGTCCACGTCCATGTCCACGTCCATGTCCACGTCCACGTCCATGTCCACGTCCATGTCCACGTCCATGTCCACGTCCATGTCCACGTCCACGTCCACGTCCACGTCCATGTCCACGTCCACGTCCATGTCCACGTCCATGTCCACGTCCATGTCCACGTCCATGTCCACGTCCACGTCCACGTCCACGTCCACGTCCATGTCCACGTCCATGTCCACGTCCATGTCCACGTCCACGTCCACGTCCACGTCCATGTCCACGTCCACGTCCATGTCCATGTCCACGTCCACGTCCACGTCCACGTCCATGTCCACGTCCACGTCCACGTCCATGTCCACGTCCACGTCCACGTCCACGTCCATGTCCACGTCCACGTCCATGTCCACGTCCACGTCCACGTCCATGTCCACGTCCATGTCCACGTCCATGTCCACGTCGTCCACGTCCACGTCCACGTCCATGTCCACGTCCACGTCCACGTCCACGTCCACGTCCACGTCCACGTCCACGTCCATGTCCACGTCCATGTCCACGTCCACGTCCACGTCCACGTCCATGTCCACGTCCATGTCCACGTCCATGTCCACGTCCATGTCCACGTCCATGTCCACGTCCATGTCCATGTCCATGTCCACGTCCACGTCCACGTCCACGTCCATGTCCACGTCCATGTCCACGTCCACGTCCACGTCCATGTCCACGTCCACCCCGTCCACGTCCACGTCCATGTCCACGTCCATGTCCACGTCCATGTCCACGTCCACGTCCATGTCCACGTCCATGTCCACGTCCACGTCCACGTCCACGTCCATGTCCACGTCCACGTCCACGTCCATGTCCACGTCCATGTCCACGTCCACGTCCACGTCCACGTCCATGTCCACGTCCATGTCCACGTCCATGTCCACGTCCACGTCCATGTCCACGTCCATGTCCACGTCCATGTCCACGTCCACGTCCACGTCCACGTCCATGTCCACGTCCAGTCCACGTCCGTCCACGTCCACGTCCATGTCCACGTCCATGTCCACGTCCATGTCCACGTCCATGTCCACGTCCATGTCCACGTCCAGTCCACGTCCACGTCCATGTCCACGTCCACGTCCATGTCCACGTCCACGTCCACGTCCATGTCCACGTCCATGTCCACGTCCATGTCCACGTCCACGTCCATGTCCACGTCCATGTCCACGTCCATGTCCACGTCCACGTCCATGTCCACGTCCATGTCCACGTCCACGTCCACGTCCACGTCCAGTCCACGTCCATGTCCACGTCAACATGTCCACGTCCATGTCCACGTCCACGTCCATGTCCACGTCCACGTCCACGTCCATGTCCACGTCCATGTCCACGTCCATGTCCACGTCCCACGTCCATGTCCACGTCCACGTCCACGTCCATGTCCACGTCCACGTCCATGTCCACGTCCATGTCCACGTCCATGTCCACGTCCATGTCCACGTCCACGTCCACGTCCACGTCCATGTCCACGTCCATGTCCACGTCCATGTCCACGTCCACGTCCATGTCCACGTCCATGTCCACGTCCATGTCCACGTCCACGTCCACGTCCACGTCCATGTCCACGTCCACGTCCGTCCACGTCCACGTCCACGTCCACGTCCATGTCCACGTCCACGTCCACGTCCATGTCCACGTCCATGTCCACGTCCACGTCCACGTCCATGTCCACGTCCACGTCCACGTCCACGTCCATGTCCACGTCCACGTCCACGTCCACGTCCATGTCCACGTCCATGTCCACGTCCATGTCCACGTCCACGTCCACGTCCATGTCCACGTCCACGTCCACGTCCACGTCCATGTCCACGTCCACGTCCACGTCCATGTCCACGTCCACGTCCACCCCGTCCAATGTCCACGTCCATGTCCACGTCCATGTCCACGTCCACGTCCATGTCCACGTCCACCCATGTCCACGTCCATGTCCACGTCCATGTCCATGTCCACGTCCACGTCCACGTCCATGTCCACGTCCATGTCCACGTCCATGTCCACGTCCACGTCCATGTCCACGTCCATGTCCACGTCCATGTCCACGTCCATGTCCACGTCCATGTCCACGTCCACGTCCACGTCCACGTCCATGTCCACGTCCATGTCCACGTCCATGTCCACGTCCATGTCCACGTCCATGTCCACGTCCACGTCCACGTCCACGTCCATGTCCACGTCCACGTCCACGTCCACGTCCACGTCCACGTCCATGTCCACGTCCATGTCCACGTCCATGTCCACGTCCACGTCCATGTCCACGTCCATGTCCACGTCCATGTCCACGTCCATGTCCACGTCCACGTCCACGTCCACGTCCACGTCCACGTCCACGTCCACGTCCACGTCCATGTCCACGTCCACGTCCACGTCCATGTCCACGTCCACGTCCATGTCCACGTCCACGTCCACGTCCATGTCCACGTCCATGTCCACGTCCATGTCCACGTCCACGTCCATGTCCACGTCCATGTCCACGTCCATGTCCACGTCACACGTCCATGTCCACGTCCAGTCCACGTCCATGTCCACGTCCATGTCCACGTCCACCACGTCCACGTCCATGTCCACGTCCATGTCCACGTCCATGTCCACGTCCACGTCCATGTCCACGTCCAACGTCCACGTCCATGTCCACGTCCACGTCCACGTCCACGTCCATGTCCACGTCCACGTGTCCACGTCCATGTCCACGTCCACGTCCACGTCCACGTCCACGTCCACGTCCACGTCCACGTCCACGTCCATGTCCACGTCCATGTCCACGTCCACGTCCACGTCCATGTCCACGTCCATGTCCACGTCCATGTCCACGTCCACGTCCACGTCCACGTCCACGTCCACGTCCATGTCCACGTCCATGTCCACGTCCATCCACGTCCATGTCCACGTCCATGTCCACGTCCATGTCACGTCCACGTCCACGTCCACGTCCACGTCCACGTCCATGTCCACGTCCATGTCCACGTCCACGTCCACGTCCACGTCCACGTCCACGTCCATGTCCACGTCCATGTCCACGTCCACTGTCCACGTCCACACCGTCCACGTCCATGTCCACGTCCATGTCCACGTCCACGTCCATGTCCACGTCCACGTCCACGTCCATGTCCACGTCCATGTCCACGTCCACGTCCACGTCCACGTCCATGTCCACGTCCATGTCCACGTCCATGTCCACGTCCACGTCCATGTCCACGTCCATGTCCACGTCCATGTCCACGTCCACGTCCACGTCCACGTCCACGTCCATGTCCACGTCCACGTGTCCACGTCCACGTCCATGTCCACGTCCATGTCCACGTCCATGTCCACGTCCATGTCCACGTCCATGTCCACGTCCACGTCCACGTCCACGTCCATGTCCACGTCCACGTCCATGTCCACGTCCACGTCCACGTCCATGTCCACGTCCATGTCCACGTCCATGTCCACGTCCACGTCCATGTCCACGTCCATGTCCACGTCCATGTCCACGTCCACGTCCACGTCCACGTCCATGTCCACGTCCACGTCCTCCATGTCCACGTCCATGTCCACGTCCACGTCCACGTGTCCATGTCCACGTCCATGTCCACGTCCATGTCCACGTCCAGTCCACGTCCACGTTCCATGTCCACGTCCATGTCCACGTCCATGTCCACGTCCACGTCCATGTCCACGTCCATGTCCACGTCCATGTCCACGTCCACGTCCACGTCCACGTCCATGTCCACGTCCACGTCCGTCCACGTCCACGTCCACGTCCATGTCCACGTCCATGTCCACGTCCACGTCCATGTCCACGTCCATGTCCACGTCCACGTCCACGTCCACGTCCATGTCCACGTCCACGTCCACGTCCATGTCCACGTCCACGTCCACGTCCACGTCCATGTCCACGTCCATGTCCACGTCCATGTCCACGTCCACGTCCACGTCCACGTCCACGTCCACGTCCACGTCCACGTCCATGTCCATGTCCACGTCCACGTCCACGTCCACGTCCACGTCCATGTCCACGTCCACGTCCACGTCCATGTCCACGTCCATGTCCACGTCCATGTCCACGTCCACGTCCATGTCCACGTCCATGTCCACGTCCATGTCCACGTCCACGTCCATGTCCACGTCCATGTCCACGTCCATGTCCACGTCCATGTCCATGTCCACGTCCACGTCCACGTCCAGTCCACGTCCATGTCCACGTCCATGTCCACGTCCACGTCCATGTCCACGTCCACGTCCACGTCCATGTCCACGTCCACGTCCACGTCCACGTCCACGTCCACGTCCACGTCCATGTCCACGTCCATGTCCACGTCCACGTCCATGTCCACGTCCACGTCCACGTCCATGTCCACGTCCATGTCCACGTCCATGTCCACGTCCATGTCCACGTCCATGTCCACGTCCATGTCCACGTCCACGTCCACGTCCACGTCCATGTCCACGTCCATGTCCACGTCCATGTCCACGTCCATGTCCATGTCCACGTCCACGTCCACGTCCATGTCCACGTCCATGTCCACGTCCATGTCCACGTCCACGTCCACGTCCACGTCCATTCCACGTCCATGTCCACGTCCACGTCCATGTCCACGTCCATGTCCACGTCCATGTCCACGTCCATGTCCATGTCCACGTCCACGTCCACGTCCATGTCCACGTCCATGTCCACGTCCATGTCCACGTCCACGTCCATGTCCACGTCCATGTCCACGTCCATGTCCACGTCCACGTCCACGTCCACGTCCATGTCCACGTCCACGTCCGTCCACGTCCACGTCCATGTCCACGTCCATGTCCACGTCCATGTCCACGTCCATGTCCACGTCCATGTCCACGTCCACGTCCACGTCCACGTCCATGTCCACGTCCACGTCCACGTCCACGTCCACGTCCACGTCCATGTCCACGTCCATGTCCACGTCCATGTCCACGTCCACGTCCATGTCCACGTCCATGTCCACGTCCATGTCCACGTCCACGTCCATGTCCACGTCCACGTCCACGTCCATGTCCACGTCCACGTCCACGTCCACGTCCATGTCCACGTCCATGTCCACGTCCATGTCCACGTCCATGTCCACGTCCACGTCCACGTCCACGTCCATGTCCACGTCCATGTCCACGTCCATGTCCACGTCCACGTCCATGTCCACGTCCATGTCCACGTCCATGTCCACGTCCACGTCCATGTCCACGTCCATGTCCACGTCCATGTCCACGTCCATGTCCACGTCCACGTCCACGTCCACGTCCATGTCCACGTCCATGTCCACGTCCACATGTCCACGTCCACGTCCATGTCCACGTCCATGTCCACGTCCATGTCCACGTCCACGTCCACGTCAATTCCCAAGTCTACGTCCATGTCCACGTCCACGTCCATGTCCACGTCCACGTCCACGTCCATGTCCACGTCCATGTCCACGTCCACGTCCACGTCCATGTCCACGTCCATGTCCACGTCCATGTCCACGTCCATGTCCACGTCCACGTCCACGTCCACGTCCATGTCCACGTCCATGTCCACGTCCATGTCCACGTCCACGTCCATGTCCACGTCCATGTCCACGTCCACGTCCACGTCCACGTCCATGTCCACGTCCATGTCCACGTCCATGTCCACGTCCACGTCCATGTCCACGTCCACGTCCACGTCCATGTCCACGTCCATGTCCACGTCCATGTCCACGTCCACGTCCATGTCCACGTCCATGTCCACGTCCATGTCCACGTCCACGTCCACGTCCACGTCCATGTCCACGTCCATGTCACGTCCATGTCCACGTCCACGTCCACGTCCACGTCCATGTCCACGTCCATGTCCACGTCCATGTCCACGTCCACGTCCATGTCCACGTCCATGTCCACGTCCATGTCCACGTCCACGTCCACGTCCACGTCCATGTCCACGTCCACGTCCTCCACGTCCACGTCCATGTCCACGTCCACGTCATGTCCACGTCCATGTCCACGTCCATGTCCACGTCCATGTCCACGTCCACGTCCACGTCCACGTCCATGTCCACGTCCACGTCCATGTCCACGTCCACGTCCACGTCCATGTCCACGTCCATGTCCACGTCCATGTCCACGTCCACGTCCATGTCCACGTCCATGTCCACGTCCATGTCCACGTCCACGTCCACGTCCACGTCCATGTCCACGTCCACGTCCTCCACGTCCACGTCCATGTCCACGTCCACGTCCACGTCCATGTCCACGTCCATGTCCACGTCCATGTCCACGTCCACCCACGTCCACGTCCATGTCCACGTCCATGTCCACGTCCATGTCCACGTCCACGTCCATGTCCACGTCCATGTCCACGTCCATGTCCACGTCCACGTCCACGTCCACGTCCATGTCCACGTCCACGTCCTCCACGTCCACGTCCACGTCCATGTCCATGTCCACGTCCACGTCCACGTCCACGTCCATGTCCACCCACGTCCACGTCCATGTCCACGTCCATGTCCACGTCCATGTCCACGTCCACGTCCACGTCCATGTCCACGTCCATGTCCACGTCCATGTCCACGTCCATGTCCACGTCCACGTCCACGTCCACGTCCATGTCCACGTCCACGTCCACGTCCACGTCCACGTCCACGTCCAGTCCCGTCCACGTCCACGTCCACGTCCACGTCCACGTCCCATCCACGTCCAGTCCACGTCCACGTCCATGTCCACGTCCACGTCCACGTCCATGTCCACGTCCACGTCCACGTCCACGTCCACGTCCATGTCCACGTCCACGTCCACGTCCATGTCCACGTCCACGTCCACGTCCACGTCCATGTCCACGTCCACGTCCACGTCCACGTCCACGTCCACGTCCATGTCCACGTCCACGTCCACGTCCACGTCCACGTCATCCACGTCCATGTCCCGTCCACGTCCACGTCCATGTCCACGTCCACGTCCACGTCCACGTCCACGTCCACGTCCATGTCCACGTCCATGTCCACGTCCACGTCCACGTCCACGTCCATGTCCACGTCCACGTCCACGTCCATGTCCACGTCCACGTCCACGTCCACGTCCACGTCCACGTCCATTCCACGTCCACCCACGTCCACGTGTCACATTCCACGTCCACGTCCACGTCCATGTCCACGTCCACGTCCACGTCCATGTCCACGTCCACGTCCACGTCCACGTCCACGTCCATGTCCACGTCCACGTTCCGTCCTCCATGTCCACGTCCACGTCCACGTCCACGTCCACGTCCACGTCCATGTCCATGTCCACGTCCACGTCCACGTCCACGTCCACGTCCACGTCCACGTCCATGTCCACGTCCACGTCCACGTCCACGTCCACGTCCAGTCCACGTCCACGTCCACGTCCACGTCCACGTCCATCCACCACGTCCACGTCCATGTCCACGTCCACGTCCACGTCCACGTCCACGTCCACGTCCACGTCCACGTCCATGTCCCGTCCACGTCCACGTCCACGTCCACCACGTCCATGTCCACGTCCACGTCCACGTCCACGTCCACGTCCACGTCCACTGTCCACGTCCACGTCCACGTCCACGTCCACGTCCATGTCCACGTCCACGTCCACGTCCACGTCCATGTCCACGTCCACGTCCACGTCCACGTCCACGTCCACGTCCATGTCGTCCATGTCCACGTCCTCCACGTCCACGTCCACGTCCATGTCCCCCACGTCCACGTCCACGTCCACGTCCACGTCCACGTCCATGTCCACGTCCACGTCCATGTCCACGTCCACGTCCACGTCCATGTCCACGTCCACGTCCACGTCCACGTCCATGTCCACGTCCACGTCCACGTCCACGTCCACGTCCATGTCCACGTCCACGTCCATGTCCACGTCCACGTCCACGTCCACGTCCACGTCCATGTCCACGTCCACGTCCACGTCCACGTCCAGTCCACGTCCACGTCCACGTCCACGTCCACGTCCATGTCCACGTCCACGTCCTCCACGTCCACGTCCACGTCCACGTCCATGTCCACGTCCACGTCCATGTCCACGTCCATGTCCACGTCCACGTCCACGTCCACGTCCATGTCCACGTCCACGTCCACGTCCACGTCCACGTCCACGTCCACGTCCACGTCCACTCCACGTCCACGTCCACGTCCATGTCCACGTCCACGTCCACGTCCACGTCCATGTCCACGTCCACGTCCATGTCCATGTCCACGTCCACGTCCACGTCCATGTCCACGTCCACGTCCACGTCCACGTCCACGTCCATGTCCACGTCCACGTCCACGTCCACGTCCACGTCCACGTCCACGTCCACGTCCACGTCCATGTCCACGTCCATGTCCACGTCCATGTCCACGTCCACGTCCACGTCCATGTCCACGTCCACGTCCACGTCCATGTCCACGTCCATGTCCACGTCCACGTCCACGTCCACGTCCACGTCCACGTCCATGTCCACGTCCATGTCCACGTCCACGTCCACGTCCATGTCCACGTCCACTGTCCACGTCCATGTCCACGTCCACGTCCACGTCCACGTCCACGTCCACGTCCACGTCCACGTCCACGTCCACGTCCACGTCCACGTCCACGTCCACGTCCATGTCCACGTCCACGTCCACGTCCACGTCCACGTCCACGTCCATGTCCACGTCCATGTCCACGTCCATGTCCACGTCCATGTCCACGTCCACGTCCACGTCCACGTCCACGTCCATGTCCACGTCCATGTCCACGTCCACGTCCACGTCCACGTCCATGTCCACATCCATGTCCACGTCCACGTCCATGTCCACGTCCACGTCCACGTCCACGTCCACGTCCACGTCCACGTCCACGTCCACGTCCACGTCCACGTCCACGTCCACGTCCACGTCCACGTCCGTCCACGTCCACGTCCACGTCCACGTCCACGTCCACGTCCATGTCCACGTCCACGTCCGCGTCTACGTCCACGTCCATGTCCACGTCCACGTCCACGTCCACGTCCATGTCCACGTCCACGTCCACGTCCATGTCCTCCACGTCCACGTCCACGTCCGTCCACGTCCACGTCCATGTCCACGTCCACGTCCACGTCCACGTCCACGTCCACGTCCTCCAGTCCACGTTCCACGTCCCGTCCACGTCCACGTCCACGTCCACCCCACGTCCACGTCCACGTCCACGTCCATGTCCACGTCCCATCCCGTCCATGTCCACGTCCACGTCCATGTCCACGTCCATGTCCACGTCCACGTCCATGTCCACGTCCATGTCCACGTCCACGTCCACGTCCACGTCCACGTCCACGTCCATGTCCACGTCCACGTCCTCCACGTCCACGTCCACGTCCATGTCCACGTCCACGTTCCACGTCCACGTCCACGTCCACGTCCATGTCCACGTCCACGTCCACGTCATGTCCACGTCCACGTCCACGTCCATGTCCACGTCCACGTCCACGTCCATGTCCACGTCCATGTCCACGTCCACGTCCACGTCCACGTCCATGTCCACGTCCACGTCCACGTCCACGTCCACGTCCACGTCCACGTCCACGTCCACGTCCACGTCCACGTCCACGTCCACGTCCACGTTCACGTCCACGTCCACGTCCACGTCCATGTCCACGTCCACGTCCACGTCCACGTCCACGTCCACGTCCACGTCCATGTCCACGTCCACGTCCATGTCCACGTCCACGTCCACGTCCACGTCCACGTCCATGTCCACGTCCACGTCCACGTCCACGTCCATGTCCACGTCCACGTCCACGTCCATGTCCACGTCCACGTCCATGTCCACGTCCACGTCCACGTCCACGTGTCCACGTCCAGTCCACGTCCACGTCCACGTCCACGTCCATGTCCACGTCCACGTCCACGTCCACGTCCATGTCCACGTCCATGTCCACGTCCACGTCCACGTCCATGTCCACGTCCACGTCCACGTCCACGTCCACGTCCACGTCCATGTCCACGTCCACGTCCACGTCCACGTCCATGTCAATGTCCACGTCCATGTCCACGTCCACGTCCACGTCCACGTCCATGTCCATGTCCACGTCCTCCACGTCCACGTCCACGTCCATGTCCACGTCCACGTCCACGTCCATGTCCACGTCCACGTCCACGTCCACGTCCACGTCCACGTCCATCCACGTCCACGTCCACGTCCACGTCCATGTCCACGTCCACGTCCACGTCCATGTCCACGTCCACGTCCACGTCCACGTCCACGTCCACGTCCATGTCCACGTCCACTCCGTCCTCCATGTCCACGTCCACGTCCACGTCACGTCCACGTCCACGTCCACGTCCATGTCCACGTCCACGTCCACGTCCATGTCCACGTCCACGTCCACGTCCACGTCCATGTCCACGTCCACGTCCACGTCCACGTCCACGTCCATGTCCACGTCCACGTCCACGTCCACGTCCACGTCCACGTCCATGTCCACGTCCACGTCCATGTCCACGTCCACGTCCACGTCCACGTCCACGTCCATGTCCACGTCCATGTCCACGTCCACGTCCATGTCCACGTCACATCCACGTCCACGTCCACGTCCACGTCCATGTCCACGTCCACGTCCACGTCCATGTCCACGTCCACGTCCACGTCCATGTCCACGTCCACGTCCTCCACGTCCACGTCCACGTCCATGTCCACGTCCACGTCCACGTCCATGTCCACGTCCACGTCCACGTCCATGTCCACGTCCACGTCCACGTCCACGTCAACGTCCCTGTCCATGTCCACGTCCACGTCCACGTCCATGTCCACGTCCACGTCCATGTCCACGTCTGTCCATGTCCACGTCCACGTCCACGTCCACGTCCACGTCCATGTCCACGTCCATGTCCACGTCCATGTCCACGTCCACGTCCACGTCCACGTCCATGTCCACGTCCACGTCCATGTCCACGTCCACGTCCATGTCCACGTCCACGTCCATGTCCACGTCCACGTCCACGTCCACGTCCACGTCCATGTCCACGTCCACGTCCACGTCCATGTCCACGTCCACGTCCACGTCCACGTCCATGTCCACGTCCATGTCCACGTCCATGTCCACGTCCATGTCCACGTCCAGTCCACGTCCACGTCCACGTCCACGTCCACGTCCACGTCCACGTCCACGTCCACGTCCACGTCCACGTCCACGTCCACGTCCACGTCCACGTCCACGTCCACGTCCACGTCCACGTCCATGTCCACGTCCACGTCCACGTCCATGTCCACGTCCACGTCCACGTCCGTCCACGTCCACGTCCACGTCCATGTCCACGTCCACGTCCACGTCCACGTCCATGTCCACGTCCACGTCCACGTCCACGTCCATGTCCACGTCCACGTCCATGTCCACGTCCATGTCCACGTCCACGTCCACGTCCACGTCCACGTCCGTCCACGTCCATGTCCACGTCCACGTCCACGTCCATGTCCACGTCCACGTCCACGTCCACGTCCATGTCCACGTCCACGTCCACGTCCACGTCCACGTCCATGTCCACGTCCACGTCCCCGTCCACGTCCACGTCCACGTCCATGTCCACGTCCACGTCCACGTCCACGTCCATGTCCATGTCCACGTCCATGTCCACGTCCACGTCCACGTCCATGTCCACGTCCATGTCCACGTCCTCCACGTCCACGTCCACGTCCACGTCCACGTCCACGTCCACGTCCATGTCCACGTCCACGTCCACGTCCACGTCCACGTCCATGTCCCCCACGTCCACGTCCACGTCCACGTCCACGTCCATGTCCACGTCCACGTCCACGTCCCTGTCCATGTCCACGTCCACGTCCACGTCCACGTCCATGTCCACGTCCACGTCCGTCCTCCATGTCCACGTCCACGTCCACGTCCACGTCCACGTCCACGTCCACGTCCATGTCCACGTCCACGTCCACGTCCATGTCCACGTCCACGTCCACGTCCACGTCCATGTCCACGTCCACGTCCACGTCCACGTCCACGTCCATGTCCACGTCCACGTCCACGTCCACGTCCATGTCCACGTCCACGTCCACGTCCACGTCCACGTCCACGTCCTCCACGTCCACGTCCACGTCCACGTCCACGTCCATGTCCACGTCCACGTCCACGTCCATGTCCACGTCCACGTCCACGTCCACGTCCACGTCCATGTCCACGTCCACGTCCACGTCCATGTCCACGTCCACGTCCACGTCCACGTCCACGTCCACGTCCA